TAGCTATTCAGGAGGCAGAGATCAGGAGGATTCCAGTTTGAAGTCAGCCTAGGCAAATGGTTTGCAAGACCCTATCTTGAAAATATCCAACACAAAAACAGGGCTGGCAGAGTGGCCCAAGTGGTAGAGCACCTGCCTAGTAAGCATGAGGCCCTGAGTTCAAGCCCTGGTACTACCAAAAAGAAAAAAAAAAGAATTTATATCATTTGCAGGAAAATGGATGGAACTGAAGATCATAAAGCTCAAAACACCAAGTATCATGTTTTCACCCACTTGTGGAAACTAGACCTAAAATGATTATGGTGATGGTGACGATGATGATGGTACATGAATGTAAAAGGGAGACTGTACAGGAGGCAGGAGGAAAGGAAAGGATACTGGAGGGTGAAGAAGATCTAAGTATGGTACACATACATATGACAACAGCAAAATCAAACTCACCACTGTTTGAAAGAGGGGGAGGAGGGAGAGGATGTATGGGAATATAATGGGAGGGGTGAATTTATTCAAAGTACACTGTACACATCTATGGAATTATCATAATGAAACCTCCTGGGGTAAAAGAAAAAGAAACGGGGGACAGAGTTAACAAAACTAATAGGAGGTAAGGCTGGTGTTTGAACACAGAAGTTAAACTCCAGAGTCTGGAGTTTACCCTTAAACAACATGTTAATTCATGAAGACTAAGATTAGCTGGGCACTGGTGGCTCACACCTGTAATCTTAGCTACTCAGGAGGCAGAGATCTGGAGGATCGCAGTTCGAAGCCAGCCGGGCAAACAGTTCATGAGGCCCTACCTCGAAAAACCCTTCCCAAAAAGGGCTGGTGTAGTGGCTCAAGGTGTAGGCGCTGAGATCAAACCCCAGTACCACAAAATAAATGAATAAATAAAAGACAAGTTGGTAGAAACCTTTTGCAATACATATAGGAGAATAATTTCCCATAAATTGTCACCAATGAAAAGCCTAAATAAATCCACTATCTTCATTGTTCTTAGATGACTTAAAAATCTGAGCAATACAATACATTATTAGTCTCCTACTAGTTTCACTATAGATAACACCTCTGAATGTGGGTTAAGGTAATAGTTGCCTACGTTACTTTTCAGGAATTTGAAGCCTACATTTTTTTTTTTTGAGACAGGGTCCCCTATGTAGCCTAGGTTGGCCTTATACTTAATATCCTCCTGCCTTCACCTTCCAAGTGAATATCTACAAAGTTCCTATAAACTAGTCAGATAAAGACAAACAATGAAATAGGTAAACGGAATGGAAAGATAATAAATAAGAAATACAAATGTCTACTAAACATATGAGAAGTTATTCTATTTCATTAATCATCAGAGAAAACAAGTTAAAAGATAATTTTCATCATTCAGATTGGTAAAAATTGAAAAGATAAATAAAGTTGGTATTGGGACAGTATGAAGGTATACATAATTGGCAGAGATATATAAATTTTTTAGTGTGTGCTGGGCATAAAACCCAGGGCCTCACACATTCTAGGCAAGTATTCTGTACCACTGACCTACATCCCTAGCAGGGGTATAAATTGATGCAATCTTTTTTTTTTTTTTTAGTTTTAGTTTTTATTTTTGGTGTACTGGGGTTTGAACTCTGGGGCTTGCACTAGCTAGATAAGTACCATTTAAACCACTCCACCAGTCCTTGATGTAATCTTTCTGAGGGCATTTTTGACAGTTCCTTTCAAAGTGAAAAACAGACATTCTTCCATCCACTCACCACTCATTCATTTATTCACTTGACAAGTGTTTACTGAGCACCTTTTATGTACCAGGTGCTGTTCTAGGTTATGTTAGTAAAATAGTGATACTAAAAAATCCAGTGTAAAGTAAATTCATTCCTTCCTTCCCTTTTTTATTTTTGACAGTGTCACTTTTTTTTGTGAGAATTGTCCAGGCTGGCTTCCAACTCCTGAGCTCATGTGAACTTCCTGCTTCTGTATCCCCAAGGAGCTGGACCTACAGGTACTCACAGCCAGATGTAATAAATTTTCTATCATAATATCTATTATAAAAAATAAGTAGGGAATGTTGGAGTAAAGCCAGCCTCTTTAACAAATGTGCTAGGTACCGCAAAAAAAAAAAAAAGAAAAGAAAACCAAAAACAACAAATGCTGGCAAGAAAGGGTTGGGGGAAACCCCCACTACTAGTGGAAATGTAATTAGTTTAGCCAGTATGGAAATAAGGATGGAGATTCCTTAAAAAACTATAAAAATATGTCTGGAGGCATGGCGTAGAGCACCTGCCTAGTAAGTGAGAAGCCCAGAATTCAAACCCTAGTACCACCAAAACCAACCAACCAACCAAACAAAACCCCCAAACCAAAAAACATTAAACTCCCCCAAACAAACAAAAACCCACCTAAAAATAGAACTACTATATGATAAAACTATACCACTCTATACACCCAAAGCAGTAGAGACATTTGCACACCCATGTTTATAGCAGCACTATTCATGATATCCAAGCTATGGAATCAGCCTAAAGTGCCCATCAACAGATGAATGGATAATGTGATAAATACACTCAATGGAATACTATTCAGCTATGAAGAATGAAATCATGCCATTTGCAGAAAAATGGATGGAACTGAAGATCATCATGTTAAACAAAATAAGATAGGCTCAGAAAGACAAATATCACATGTTTTCTGTTACATGTGGAATCTAGATTTAAAAAAAAACACATGAAAGTAGGAGGGAGACTCTTTGGAAAGAGGAAGGGACCAGCAGGAGAGGGAAGGGGGAACAAAAGTTGGTAATAGGGTGATGAATATGTAAGAGGTGCTTAAACTGCTTTTGCTGAAAAGCACTGACTTCTTACTGGGGCCCATGAATTAACTGAAGACAGGAGAAAAGCTTGACACCTCTGTTTTCATTTCTTACCTGCTGTCCTTTGCTCTAAGCCATTCTCCCCTTCAGTCACCTTGGAATCAAAGAAGGACACTACTGATTAATGACATGTTTATGGCAAGGGACTAAAACTACCACTAAGGAACAGTGGAACCTTGCTGGAACGACCATCCCCCAAATAAGAACAATGACCTATAACAATGAGGCTGCACCTGGAGCAGGAGTTATCATGTCTTGGCAACCAGATTGCTCCCCTCAAGTGATGACAGTGATAACAACTGCAGAATCCTCAGAGAATCAGATCTGAGATAATGTTCAACCAGGCCACACCTGTGACTGGGACTGTTTAACTATGTCCCCTGACCTAATTCTTTGTCTAAAACTAAAGTTAGTACCCCAAAGATGGGCGAAAGTGCTTACTTTGCTTCTTCCTATAGCATGTCCTGGATTGTGTAAAAAAATCTCCTTTCTCTGCCTTTCACCATGCCTCTTTATTTTGCATATAGGGGTGAGTGGCCACCCCTATATGCAGGTGTTTGAGCCTGGGATCCAAAACTCTGGTTCAGATATAACCAGTGTACATTATATACATGTATGAAAATGTCAAAACAAAGCCCATTATTTTGTACAATTAATACATGCAAATAAAAAAGAAAAAAATAAGGTTAATGTGATAGATGGCAAGAGGACATCAGTCACACAGAATCAAAGGGAAATTTGTTCAGCAGAATTGCAGCATATGCAAAGGCCAGTTTGGCTTAAGACTAGGTGAAGAAAGGGAAAGTGGTATTTGTGGTATGTGTGGAGGTCAGGGTTTGGGTTAGATCATTGTAGTACAGATTCTAGTATGAAGAGAGATGGTTTCATTCACATTACACTTGGAAATCTCTGAAGGGCTTTAAGCAAGGGAGTGATAAGAACTTACTTATATTGGAAAAGCCCACTCAGGTTGCTGTGTGGAACATGGACTAAGAGGGGGCAAGAGGAGGCAGAGAGCAGTAAGAGTTTGTAAAAGGTTATTTATTGTAAGAAGCCAGGTGAGTGAAAATGGTGACTTGGACCAGAGTGGCACTGGAAGTAGGAAATAGAGAAAAAATTCGGTTAAATTTTTTTTTTGTAAACTGGTGCTGAGGATGAAAACCAAGGTATTACGCTACCACAGAGCTACACCCCTTCAGAATGTATTTTGGCGACAGAGGACTATGAGAACAAAGAAAGATTAACTATTGGATTTAAATCTAACAATCACACAAGTATTCAAAGACAGAGATTTTAGGGTGTTCACTACACCATTTGTATTAGTGAAAACCTAGAGTAAAGAACTATTAAATCATGGTACATCCATTTCATCCATACTATGTAGTTTAAAAGATGCTCACAATATGAGTGGAAAAAGTCAAGTGCATAACGTAACTCTAGTAAACTAGAGTATTCATGCGTCTATGCACAGGATATTAGAAACATACACTTTACTGGGGGAGGGCCTTGACAAGTGGAGGTTCTCTTGCCTTTTTTGGGAGTAGTAGGGCTTGAACTCAGGTACTCGTGCTTAGCCAGGCATCTACTAGGCAGGAACCTTATCACTTGAACCATCCCACCAACCCTGTGTTGTATTGTTTTTTTTTTTCCCCATAGGGTCTCCCATACTAATTGCCTCGAGCTGGCTTGGAACCTTGATCCTCCTGATCTCTGCCTCCTGAAAGCTAGGGTTACAGGTGTGAGCCACAGGCGCCCGGCCTCTCTAATGAAATACTTTGTATTATTTCAACGGCCCATAAAGATGTCCGTGATTTCCGACAAGGGGGGCTCGGCTCCTTGGTCCTTACATAGGTATTCTACAAACCTAGTCTGAAAGTCGTCTTAACGGAAATCTTTCGGACTCCGGCGCCTTTTGTCCACACCACGTGTTCATTAAGTGTCTCAGGTCCGCCTCCGCCCCGCCCCACCCCACCCCACCCCACCCCACCCCACCCACCCACCCGACCCGACGCGCCAACCCTGGCTAAAAGCCGCGGCCAGGGCGCGCGCCCCTCCACTTTGGGCATGCTCCCTGCCAGCCCGATCCCGCGAGTCCTCCTCCATCCACTCAGAGCGCAGGACCGCAGCCCCCTCCCCCCAGCGTTGCCGGAGAGACGTTCGTCGCGGTGTGTTTGCGTCATTGGGCTCCGCCACCACGCGAAGCCGGGGAAGATGGCGGCAGCCGTTCTTAGCGGGCCCTCTGCGGGCTCCTCGGCTGGGGTTCCCGGCGGGACCGGGGGTCTCTCGGGAATGGGCTCGGGCCCACGTCTGCGTCTACTGCTGCTGGAGAGCGTTTCCGGGTTGTTGCAGCCGAGAACAGGGTCTCCAGTTGCTCCTGTGCATCCCCCAGTCCATTGGGCCCCACATTTGCCTGGGCTCATGTGCCTGTTGCGGCTGCATGGGACGGTGGGCGGGGCCCAGGTAAGTTTGAGGCTAGCGTGCTGGCGGTGCTGTGGGAAGGTTGGCTAGGCACCTGGGTGTCGGGTTTACGCTGCACAGAAGCCGCAGTGCGGGGGTTGAGGGGAGGCGGATTGAGGGCAGAAAGCCGATCCAGCTGTCGTTCCGGCCGATATTCACGTATTTCTCCTTTATCAGCCCTTTGTTTCTCCAGGGGAAAAATTAGGCCCTATTTTTCTGTTACTAGGCTGTTGGTAGGTACCGAGGAATGGATTCAATTCCGGGCCTGGTCACTCACTAGTTGAATGCTCTTCAGCCCTTTTCTTTTGGCGACATCTGTTTTCGGGACTGATTCCACTTAATGGAGTACATCAGTAGTTACCAGCTCTTACTGAGGACCTAATAACTGTACTAGGCGCTGCAGTTCTCACACGTGATGGCGATGAGTAAAATGCTGTAACGCAAGATGAAAATTGAATGGTAACAGTGGGCCTCTAACCTAATCTTGAGAATTTAGGGATTTTCCAAAGGAATTATAGTTTAAGATGAGATCCTAAGGATGAGTAGGGATTGGAAAAGAAAATGGAAATTTATGTGGGAAGGAACTGAAAAGAAGGGCGTTGTCGATGGCTGGGGGTGTGGCTCAAGTGGTACAACACCAGCCTAGCAAGCTTGAGACCTTAAGAGTTGAAACTCCAGTACTGAGGAAGGGGGAATAAAAAAGGTATCTTCTAGGGATTCAGATGTAGAGGGGAAGAGAATGGGTAGAGATGAGGCTGGTGAGATGGGTAGGCAGATGACAGTCAGCCTGATGAAAAGGAGCCTTCATATTAAGAGCAGATCTAACATCCATTTCAGTTCTGCAAGCTAGAAACCCAAGGGTCTTCCTAAATATTTTCTTCTTCCTCACACATCTCCATAAAGCAGTCTGTGAAGTTCTGCCTTTTCATAGATTTTCAGTCAACAAATATTTATGTGTTATGTGGCAGGTACTGTTCTTCATCTCTAGGTAGATAAATAATACATGGGTCTTTCCTTTACAGAATTTCTAGTCTGGTTGAGATTAGAAATGAAGGTAAGAAATAGGCCTGGAACTTGAGAGAAGGAGAGCTCTTTTGTTTGATTCATCCTTCTGGTCTTAATCACCAAGTTAGCTTTCTCACAGGTACCACAAATTCAATGGTTCCAAAATGGGACTAACCCAGCACAGTTTCTAGCTCGGATTATAGTGCCAGTCTAACTGGTTTTCTTGCCTCTTACCTGGATCATACATGGGAGCTAGTGTGAGCTTTCTAACATAAAATTCTAATCCTGTTTGCTGCCTTTAAAATCCTTCAGTACCTGTGCTTTGCCTTCCTTCCTCTTAACTAGGGATGAACTGTGTTCCTGTCGAAGGCTAACCATCTGCATGTACACTATGCCTGGCCTCCTCTCCTTAGACAAGTACCTTGTTTCAGTGATTCTCCACCACTTCACCATCAACTTTCCTCTTCTTCATTGGATTATTTTCATCAGATACAGCTTAAATTTGCTGCTGCCCCTTTTCTGTATTTTCCTTTATGGTAGAACTCTTCAAAAGAGTTGTATTTTTTGTTTTCTATTCTTTTTTCTTTCTGGCAGTAGTGGGGTTTGAAATCAGGGGTTCACACTTGCTAGGCATTTGCTCTACCACTTGAGCTATGCTTCCAGCCCCATTGACACGGGAGGGACTTTTGGTTTTTTTTTTTTTTTGGTGCACCGGTCCTGGAGGTACTGCAATACCAGGTTGATGCGTGGAGTGGACGGTGCAAGCCCCTATTCCATCTCCCTGTTCCAAAAAGCCATTTAATACGTTGTCCTCGGATAGAGGACGTATCAGATATTAAACTGATAAGAACAGATACTGCACTTGATCTTAGCCAAAAGGCTGAGAAGTGATTGACATGGGGCTTAATGTAGGCAACCTAGGTTGGTCTCCAACACCTGATCCTCTTACCTCAGCCTCAGGTGTGTACTACCTGGCTGGCTTTTTTTGTTTGTTTTTGTAGTGCTGGGGATTGAACTTAGGGCCTCTATCACAGGCCAAGGAAACACTTTACCACTGTGTTACCACTGTGTTACACCCCCAGCCCTTACCTTTTTAAAGAGTACTAGACAGTTATTTTGTATGATGCCCCTCTGATTGGCTTTTGTGCTCTTTCCTCAAGATTAGATTCACATTGTATATTTTTAACAGGAGTAATGCAGAAGTGATATTATATCATTCTTGGTGTGTTATGTCAGGAGGCACATAATGTCTGTTTGTTCATGATTAGTGATACTAACTTTCATCACTAAGTTAAGGTGATCCCTGCCAGCTTTCTCCACTATATACTTATATTTTTCCATTTGTGATTTATAGGTGTCTTGTGGGGAGATGATGTAAATGTCAATGTTTTACCCACTTGTTCTAGCTTCCATTAAAGACTCTAACCCTGAATGGATTATCATTATTTGATTGTTCCATTCAACTCATTCTCTTTAGACTTTCACCTAGCCATCACATGAAGTCAGATACATGATACATGGGGTTTTCCACTTGTGTCATGTCAGCACTCAAAATGTTTTGGATTTTGGATATTCTGATTAGGGGTGCACAACCTGTATTTATTTCATCAGTTATTTTCTGTTCTTCCAACTAGGAAATAAGCTACCCAGCATCAAAAACAATGTCTCACATGAAGCAGATTTATTTATTTATTTATTATTATTCATATGTGCATACAAGGCTTGGGTCATTTCTCCCCCCTGCCCCCACCCGAAGCAGATTTATTGAATAAAGGAATGATTTCCCTCTATCAGAGTAGGAACCTATTTCTCTTATTCAGTTGTGTTTTCCTTCACCTGACCCAGTGTGTAATGCCATAATGTGTACTTAAAATGAGTGATGTACACTTTTAGGGAGATCAGGTATTTTGAGATGAGCCTGGGCCGTCAGGAGATGGAGAGGGCTAATGAGGAAACATTTTTCGTGGGATTCCAGATGTAAGGGTAGGACTTGAAGGAAGACTGTGGCTGTGTAGTAGATGTGTGTTGGCATTCTTACACTCTAAGGAAACCAGGAATAGGAGGAAGAGGAGACGTTTGGGGGTGAAGGAAGAAGGGTAGTGGATGAGTTCAGGGTCAGCTTGGTAAGCATTTCTGGGATGTCACTTTGCTAGATGCTATTCAGGGTTGTCCAGGTGAAGTAGATCCATTGTTGAAGTCTGGTGATGAGATGTGTTGGGCTGTTTTCATTTAGCTCTGATTTGTTGGGTGTGGAGTGGAGGAAGGTGTCAGACAAGATAGAACTTGAGGAAATTCTGATAAACAGGCTGCTATGACACAGGGTAATGGGCTCTAGAGGGATGAGAGAGATCTCTTTGGCCTCAGAGGAGGTGTGACTTGAGAAGGGTTGAGGCATGGGCTGGGGGCATGCCTCAAGTAGCAGAGTACCTGCCTAGCAAGCGCAAGGCCCAGAGTTTAATGCCCAGTACTCAAGAAAAAGAAATAAAAAAAGGAATGGGAATATGGTTCAAGTGGTAGAGTACCTGCTTAACAAGTGCAAGGCTAATCAGTACCCACCCAGCCCTCCACCCCACCAAAAAAAACAAAAAAGGTGGATAGAGGAAGGGCTTGGAGAATTTCTCCTGCATCTTTGACCTATGTTTGGACTCACTCCCCTGTTTTGTTTTTTAGAACCTCTCAGCTCTTGGGACATTGGTGAGTCTCAGTAATGCGCATCTTGGTTCCATCAAAACTCGGTAAGTTTTTATCCCTGTTTTTTTCTTCAGGGAATATTCCTTAAGGTAGTAAGCTGCATGTCCATCTGGCCATGCATTGCCACCCTCCCCCCCACCCCCGTTGGATTTAAGTGATTTCCCCATTCCCAGGAGGGTGGGAAGTTTCATGTTCTCTGTGAGCTCACTTGAGTTGAACTCATTCCTGAGTTTCTTGTTCCCCACCTGAGAAGATTGTCTTTGCTTTCTTCCTTCCTTGCTGCCCACACCTCACTTTAAGACCTTTAAGCTTCAGGAGGTAGAAGCCATACTCTGGGGATTGGGTATAATCCAGTGAAAATAAAAGAACAGTTAGTAGGTTTCTCTGAAGTCTCTCCTCCTCCTACTTGTCTTCACTCTGTTCTTGCTTGTAAGGTTTGAGGGCCTGTGTCTGCTGTCCCTGCTGGTAGGGGAGAGCCCCACAGAGTTGTTCCAGCAGCATTGTGTGTCTTGGCTTCGGAGCATTCAGCAGGTATTGCAGGTAAGACTTTCTGCTCCTCTTCCCTCCCATCTTGGGTCTGGTATGTTCTTTGTGGATTGAACATTTAGCTCTGGGCACAGAATGATTAGAGATTAAACCTCAAACAGAGACATCCTTTTAAACTTTTTGGTATTTCTATCTACTGGCTTATTTTAACTCATCTGACCTTTCATACACTAACTTCTGACAACTTCTTCATTAGTTTTTTTTAAGGAGTGACATCTCTAAAGTTCCTTTTCTGGGTGCTTTGTGTATGAGTGTTTTGGTCTATTCCTTTGTTCACCTTTTAATGTTTTAATCTCTTTGCTTGACTTTTACATTCTTTTATGCCATCTGCACTTATTTATTCCACAACAATTTTCTGAATGCAAACAGCAAGCTATGTGCTAAGCTCAGGGCAGACAGTGGGAAGATGTACATAGACCCTGCTTTCATGGTGCTCAGAGTCTAGCTCAGGGATTGGGATGTTTTCTCCATGAAGAAAGTATTTGCAGAAATAAACGTGATAACATGGTTTTTGTTGTATATTTGTTTTCTATCCCTTTGAAAATGTAAAAACCATTCTTAGGGTATGGGCCACACAAAATCAAACACCCACAGACAATAGTTTGCTGATTCCTCTTCAGATGGAAGACACTTTAACTGAGTGATGATTCAGATGAGTGTAAAGTGGTAGACTAAGGTTGCTTCTAGGGAGGTAATAATGGTAGTTCTCTGAGAACATAGGGCAAGAAAATATGACCACACCTGGGGTCAGATGTGTGTGATGGGGATCAGGACCATTCAGTTAGGGAAGGCTTTTCTAAACTGACCAATAGTAATTAGTTGGGCTACAAAGTGTTCTAAGAGTGCAAAATCCTTGACAGAAGAGGGGCTTGGCCATTTAAAGAATTGTAAGCATGCCGGTGTGGTAGAGTTTATGAGATACAGCTGGGGAGGTAGATAGATTGGGACAAAGACATTACTTTGCTGGCCGTGGTAAAGATTTTGGTTCTTATTCTCTGGGCTGTGGCAGTTCATCAGAGGTTTTAAGCAGCTGTCTCAGTCTGTTTCATGCTGCTGTAACAGAACATCAAGACTGAGTAATTTATAATGAACAGAGATTTATCTAGGTCACAGTTCTAGAAGCTGGAAAGTACAAGATAGAGGGTTGACATCTTGTGAGGGCTTTTTTTTTTTTTTTTTTTTTTTTTTTTGGTGGTACTGGGGTTTGCATTCAGAGCCTTGCAACTTGCTAGGAAGATGTTCTACTACTTGAGCCACACCCCCAGCCCTTTTTGCTTTAGTTGTTTTTCAGATAGGGTGTTGCATTTTTGTCTGGGTAGTCTTGAACTGGGATCCTTCTAGTTTGCCACCTGTGTAGCTGGGATGACAGGTGCATGCCACCATGCATAGCTTATTGGTTGAGATGGGGGTTTTGACAACTTTCTGCCCAGGCCTTGAACCTTGATCCTCCCCACCTCTGCCTCCTGAGTATCTGGGATTACAGTTATGAGCCACCTCACTCGACTGAGGGCCTTTTTGCTGTGTCATAGCACGGTGGAGACGAGACAGGGTGTGAAGGTTGGGAGTGAGCACATGTGTGCCAAACTTGCTTTTATAACAAACCACTCGTGATAAAAACATCAGTTCATTCATGAGGGTAGAGCCCTTCCTCCTCTCAACACTTACATTGTGGATTAGGTTTCCACACTTAGATTTTGTGGTACACATTCAAACCATAGAAAGGTTTAGAAAGCAGAAAGGAAGCAGAAAGACCATATGGAAAGGTGGGAAAGTAACATAGGAGAACATTCATGATAGCTGTGGTACACATTCAAACCATAGCAGTGGTGGCGAGGAGATGCTGGTGGTAATATGGTCACATTTTCATTTGAAAATGTCACTCTGGCTGTTGTGTGGAGAAAGGTTTAGAAAGCAGAAAGGAAGCAGAAAGACCATATGGAAAGGTGGGAAAGTAACATAGAGAAAACATTCATGATAGCTTGGTTTAGGTAGTGGCATAAACTGAGGAATAGATGGTTTTGTGAGAGATAGGGAGAAAAAAAGGAGGGCGGGAGAGAAGAGAGAGAGAGGCAGGCAGGCAAGAGAGCAGGGCAAAAGTCCTGATAATTGATTAGCATTAGGGAAAGAGCACGACCATGATCACTCATGGAAGATGGCTAGGTTCAGAGGGGACAGGAGACTACACCACGGATGTGGCCTTAGGTGTTTGGTAGAAGTCCTTATAGGAAGGACTTATCCCCTGATAAGGCATGACTGGAAGTGGCCAGGCTTCATACAACCTCCAGTGTTGTGTGGGTAGGGCTTCAGTTGGTATGTTTTATAAGGGAAAAGTCTTTGGCATTTAGATGGTGGTTAAAGCTGAGGATGAGGACAGGATTATCAAGATGAGTCCTTGTATGAACTGAGTTTTAAGGCACATCATATTTAATGGTTAGGTGGAAGAGAATGAGCTTACCGGGAACTGAGACTGACAGAACAGCAGAAAGGAGATAACTAGGATTGTGGATTGGATGAAATTCAAGGGAAGAAGGAAGAGTAAGTGGGATTGTGGGGAAAAGTACTTGAGGAAAGAGTGAGGAGTCATGTCTGTTTGTATTCCTGTGAGGTGGAACAATACAGACCTAGAGTTATTTATCATAGTACTAGTTCAGGGTTGTAAGACTACTAAAAGTGTTTTTGGTGGCCCTATATACACTGAAGCCAGATTGGCTTGGGATGAGAAGCAAGTGGGAGAAGAGTAATGGAAGTAGAGAAGATACGAGATCCAGACTTTGGTTATGATGATAAGGGAAAGAAATTGAGTAGTTATTGGGATTTGGTAGTGGAGTACTGTATGGCTCAAGGAGAGAATTTCTAAGATGGGAGTGACTTGATCATGCATAAATGTCAATGGTAAGAATCCACTTGAGGGACAGGAAAGAGCTGGATGTGATGTACAAGGTTCTGAGCAAGAGTGCAGGGTAGTATTTAAAGCATTGGTGGAGGATTGTCTGTGGTTAGGAGGAGATATATTTGATGTAGGCCTTATGGCAGGAGGAGGTAGATGATAATTAGGTTTTCAAGTTTGGGAGTGGGAAGGTAAAGGGGTTCTCATCTCTAGGCTTCAGTTTTCTCTTCCAAGTTGTAGGCAAGGTCATACAGAGGTGACAGTGGTAGGGGGAATTGGGACTTGGAAGTTCAAGGAGGTTTGAATAGTGGAGAAAGTTAAGCAGAGAGAAGTACAGTAGGATTACTGGACAGTGTTGAGGCTCAGTTTGTAGTTGGAAGGCCCGCCTGTTTTTCTTTTAAATTTTGCTTATCTTTTTGAGATAGAGTTTCATGTTGCCTGGGCTGGCCTCAAACTCCTGGGCTTGAGTCATCCTCCTCCTTCATCCTCCTGAGTAATTGGGACTATAGGCATGTATCAGCACACTCCACCATTCTTGTTTTCCTTATGAGTATTCTCATTTGTTTTGTTGACATGCGGCCTCATCTGGTATAGAAGGAAGTAGGTGCCAAATGCTTGATTTTCCAAGAAAGTTCTGAATTCAAATTGTTTTTTGCCTATGAGTTTCAGGGTAGGTGTGAATCAAGCTTGGAGAGATGGGACAGTTTTATTGTGGCTGAGACTTAATTTTTCATCCTGAAAAGTACTCTTCTCCATTCCCAACAGAGAAAATATAGTACAAGAGAATCAAAAAGAGACCTTCCAGTTAGTCAGATCTTTTAAGGTGTGGCTTTGTTAACCTTTTTTCCCAAATTCCTGAGATCTCAGATAGCTTTTTATTTATTTTAATTTTTGCAGTGCTGGAGATTGAACCTCAAACATGATAGGCAAGCACTGTCTCACTGAGCTACATCCCTAACCCCCCAGATACTTTGATACTAAAATGTAAGCATGTGTTCTGTTCCTTTTGGATCCTTCATATTCTCTTGCCCCTTTCTACCTACACATAGTTGATTCAGTAGGAATATTGATGTTAACTGTGGTGTTTCTCAAAAGCCCTATGTTGTTATACTTCCTGTCCCTCCTCCTCTCAGTGACAGTGAAGGTGAGGTTGGCAGCATGGGTGTTGTTGCTTTTAGTCCCAGGACCCACCACCTACTATGGAGTTAGCTGTGGCTGTCCTGAAGGACCTGCTCCGATATGCAGCTCAGCTTCCTATGCTCTTCCGGGATATTTCCACCAACCACCTCCCTGGCCTTCTCACTTCACTGTTGGGCCTCAGACCAGAGGTGAGGTCCATCCCCAGTCCCTTGACTCCTCAGAGTGCTCATTTATACTGTTTGGATTAAAGAATGTGATGGAATGTGATTAGGGAATGGGATAGAAGAATGGGAAGGGGGTGAGACCAAGAAAAAGTGATTGTATTGAGAGGAGAGGAGCTTGTGGGGTGATAGAGGGAGATGGAAATGTTAGAGCCATTGGATTCCTGGCCTCTTCCTTCTTCCTGACTTTCTGTTTTTCCCACAGTGTGAACACTCAGCTTTGGAGGGAATGAAAGCTTGTATGATCTATTTTCCTCGGGCTTGTGGTTCTCTCAAAGTAAGTATTTACAGAAACTCGTTTCCCTACCAATATATGCCATGATTGCTTTCTTACCTCAGATTCCATTCCTGAGATTTCTAAGCAACTATCTTGACTACATTGATACTACTTTGGGGCACTTATGTAATCCTCTCAGGAAAAGAAATCAGAATTAAATCATCTGCCTAAGACCAATAGAGGTCAGAGATATAACTAATAGTAAGTCCCAGACTCAAACCCATGGATTCCTTTTTTTTTCTGCCCTGCCTTCTCTGAATCTCTAGAATGCTCTGCCTGCCTTCTTGACCTAATTCTTTCCCAACAGCTCTTTCTGACTGTATTCCAACTTGAAATCCAAGCACCACCCCCCATGCCCATCATGACCATGCAGGGTACAGTAGGACCTTACGGATATGGTGTACATGGGGCAGGTGAAGGAGCTGCCAGTGAAAGAATTATAGTTCCTTCACCCTCACCCTGCCTTGCCCCTCTGCAGAACTGCACATTGAACTTGGGGCCTCATACTTGATAGGCAGGTGCTGTACCACTCGAGCCATGCCCCAGCCCATATAGTTTTCTTCTCAAGGAGCTATGGTAACATATATTTTTCCAAAGCAATAACAAACAGTTACAGGATCATTTGTAATTGGCACATTTGTCATTTGACATGTAATTGAATGCAAAGAACCAGTAGGTGTTCCTTTGTGGGTTATGTGTTCACTCTTATTTTGTTATACCCTCATTGGCTTGACAAACCATTGTGTACCTGTTACTCAGATGGAAGCACAAATCTGTGGAGAGTTGGAATTTGTAACATACTAATAACTTTTATATAACTGGTGTGGTTAATGAAAATTGTTAATGATTTAAGGGAAAGTTTGCCGTTCATATAGTCTTAAAAGTAAGATTTTTGTGGTTCCACAATTAAATCAGGAAACTAAGCTCTCTTTTTTTTATGTTTTGGCAGTACTGGGGGTTGAACTCAGAGCCTCCTGCTTGCTAGGCAGGTGTTCTACCAATCGAGCCACTCTGCCAGCCCTTTTTGTGTTGGTTACTTTTGAGATAAGGGTCTCTCTTTCTATTTGGGCCAGGACCTCAATCCTCCTATTTGTGCTTCCTGGTATGGCTGGAATGACAGGCGCACACTGTTGTGCCCAGCCATTGCTTGACATGTGTTTCTAAGCTTTTTGCTCTGGCTAGTCTGGATTCTCTTCTAAAGTAGCTAGGATTACAAGCTTGAGTCATTGCACCTGGCTGAAAGTGAGCTCTTTTTTGAGCAGGGTTTGGCCATGTAGCCCAGGTTGGCCTCAATCTCCTGATCCTCCTGCCTCAGCCTTCTAAGTGATGGATATTATAGGCATGCATCACTATGTCTGGCTGAAAGTAAGCTCTTGATGGAAAGGGGACTAGTGTTTAGGGAGTACCCACGCTGTGCCAGGCCTTCTGCTGAGTGTCAAAGATGTGTTTTCTCATTTTTATCATCATAATTATCCTGTGGAGTTGGTCTTACTATATTTTACAGAGGAGGAAACCAACCTACAATTTAAGTGACTTAACCCAAGGCTACATATATACTCCAGTGCCAGCTCCGATCATTTGTTAGTGGCTGTGTAAGTTGCTGGCTTGAGGAAGCTTTTGAGTCAGGCACAGAGTTCCGTGGGCATGCATGTTGTGATCTATAAATGGTGCTTCCTGAGGCTTTATTATAGCAGCTACCCTTACCTGTGGTTTTGCTTTCTGAGGTTTCAGCTGTGTCCAGCCACGTAGCAAAATTAGACTTTATCTGTCCTTCACAATTTCGTGGATAGAAGATTTGTTTTATAGATCTTAGCAGTCTCAGGATTTTTTTTTCCTTATTAAGCTGAGAGCTTTTATTTTATCACATTAAGGAAGCATTTTACAGCTTCTCTTTGGCATATTTGAATTGCCAGCATAAGGCTTGTGCTTTGAGGTCATTGTAGAGTAAAATAAGGGGTATTTGATAATCCCAGCAGTCTGATTACTCAGATGGATACTAAGAAATTGAGAGAGAGAGACAGCCAGTCAGAGAGTGAGCTGCAAGCACATATTCACGTAATTTTCATTGCAGTGTAAGTTGTTATAATTGTTCTATTTTATTATCATTAGTTAATACCTTACTGCGCCAAATTTATAAATTTAATTTTATCATAGATACATACATATTGGAAAAAAATAGGCCAGGTGTTGTCATGCACTCAGGAAGCTGAGGCAGGAGGATTGGGAGGTTGGGACCAGCCTGGGCTGCATAATGAGACCTGTTTCAAAAAACACAAAGCATAAAAACAAACATAGTATATACAGAGTTTGGAACTATCTGTGGTTTTGCCATCTACTTGGGGTCTTGGATCATACTTCTCCCAGATAAGGGGGAGTTCACTGTAACTGGTTGCTTATAGTGTCTAAAGAGTCCCCAAGTAGATATTTCTCAGTGAGCATGGGATGATGTCCTTGCTAATTGCTCGTTTTCATGTAAATGCCCTAACCACAGCTAATGGAAGCTTTGGATAGGCGGGATAGGACTTCTTTTTCATTTTGGCTGGGATTAAACCCAGGTTCTCACACATGCTAGTCTAGCTCCATTACAGAGCTATAGCCTTGGTCCAGGACAGAACTTTTGTCAAGAATGTATTGTGGATCTTACTAATGGATAGTTTTTTGTTTTTTTTTTTTTTTTTTGGTAACTGTATTTTATCTATTTTACCTGATTGAAAACTGCTTGTAAAATGTTCTGTAAGGTAATTCCTCAGGTTACACAGGGTACTAGTTTGTTTCCAACCAAAAGTTTTTTTTTTTTTTTTTTGTGGTACTGGGGTTTGAACTCAGGACCTCATGCTTGCTAGGCAGGCACTTTAGCACTTGAGCTACTCCACCAGCCCTCCAACCAAAAGTTTCTGAGGTTTTACTGTAAATGTTTTGATTCAGCTCTGTTTGGTATTTATATTCTACCTGTATCTCACCATGAAAGTGAAGAGGAAATTGAGTATAAGTTACCTGTAGGGCGGAAATGTGAATTGTCATGGAGATTAGAATGCCATGCGTTCTTCTGTGTTGCTCCTAGTTTTCAGTGTGGGTGTACAGGAGAATTTATCTCTAATTCACAACCTTTTATTAGGCAGTGTAGGTTTTGGAGTTTATGGTCTCCATTTTGAGTACTCTTTCCAAACCAAAAAGCATCCATACCTTGTCTCAGGGTTTATCTGCCTTTATTTCTCTTAAGAATTAGGTGTCAACTGGGACTCTTCCCCTATTAAGGATTCTGGCTTTTTCTTTTGCCAACATCACAGATAATCTGTTTTGTGCAAAAGCCCTAGGGGTAGTCTATATTTGTGAAATATTGCAGACCAGTACTTAGGAAACTGATAATTGCTATTTTAAAATTTTGTTTTTTGTCCTATCCTCCAGATGTTCCTGGGGCAGTTGCAGTCTCCAGTCACAGGGTTATTCCTCCTAAATGATGTGTCTCAAGCATTTTGAGTCCCTGCTAAAACCTTACTTCTTCCTCCTCCTCAGATTGATTAGTTCCTTGGAATGAGTGGGAAGACTGACTCTACCCTTGAGAGATATCCAGGACATGCTACATGTGTGTGCATATGTTTTGAGTAAAGTAAGCCATTATTTTGGTTTGTTTATAGGTCAGTCAGGGCAGATCTTGTGGCCAACTACAAGGCCGTGTTGCTTCACTGTCCTCTGCTTTGTTGTAGTCACAAGCCAACTTCTGTTGGCCTTAACCTGGCTTTTTGAGTAAGGGTCTCAGGGAAAGCCAGATCAGTAAGTTGGCCAAAAGGGCCAAGTGCCACTTATGTTTGAAGCTTTGGTATCACTCTCTAAGAATTGTCCTTCTTGGATCCCGAAGCCTGCGAATCATCAGACTGTGATTAGTTACTCTAGTTGGAATTATTCTGGAATTGTACCACATTAGGTATGCAAGTGTTCTCTTAAGTCCCAAGGAAATGATCCCAGATCCTGTTCTGCCTGGGATCAACTATAACAAACAGTGCTTATAACAGAAACTAAATATGGTTCCTGTCCTCAGGTAGAGAGGAGGGAGTCCTTGCAGGGTGTGTTTTGAACCACATGCTGGCAGAAGCTTCTGCTGCTCCTTTCCTCCCTGACAGCTCTGCCTTGTGCCTGGTGCCTTGGCTGATTTGTCTTCCAGAAGTTCAACTTACTGCATATGATGCTGCCGACCCCAGGGTAAAGTCAGTACTCCTTAGCCTCGTAGATAAGGCCTCAGTCTGTCTCCATGGCATCTTTGATTCTGTAGCTTTCCTTAGGGTTTCTCCTCTCTGGCCTCATGATCTGGAGTCTGCCATTTGTTTAAGCCCAGTTCAGTCACCCTCCTTAGCCTCAGTGTCATTCCCTCTTGATACTTTTCCTGTCCCCCAGTATATAGTGCAAGTGTTGACTCTAGCTTTTTTTTTTCCATATGCTTTTCTTGTCTTCTCAACTACTGCATTGCTCTGAAAGCAGAAATCCTGTGTCCCTTTCTGTGTCTTCAGTGCTGTGTTCTTATCTTTTTTCTGTCATGGGCCCCTTCCCAGAGTAATGTTTTTTCCTGCCTGTGGTTCTGGTAATGGCACTCAGAGCCTTGGCATATGCTCTACCACCAAGTTACATCTCCAGTCCCCTCAGTAGTATTTTTTTAATTCATAAAACAAAACACCATAGCATTACAAGCAAACACCTTTTTAACAATATAGTTATCAAAATGGTCAGATGTAGTGGCTTACACCTATAATCCCAGTCACTCAACAGGTAGAGATGGAGAGGATCATATAGTTTAAGGCTAGCCCAGGCAAAAAAATACCGAGACCCCCCATCTCAACAAGTAAGCCACATGTGGTGGTGTAGGCCTGTGATTCCAGCTGTGAGGAAGTTATAGGTAGGATTGTGGTCAGTGGCCCTGGCAAAAACATGAGACCCTATCTGGAAAATAACTAAAGCAAAAAAAAAAAAAAAAAATTTTTTTGGGGGTGCTGGGGACTTGACTCAAGTGGTAGTACACCTGCCTAGTAAGCACAAGGCCCTGAGCTCAAACCCTAGTCCCCCCACCACCAAAAATACCAAAAAGATAGAATAGTATATGCTAATTTATTAATATGTAAAAAAAAAATAAGATCTTGTTATTTTTATCTTTATTATTTAATCTTTAATATGGAAAGCATTCCTTCAATGATTAGGAGAGTCATGGAAGAAATAGAGGTCCTATAGGGACCTATTCTACAGGGATACCTGGCCACACACAGGTCAGGGAACATAAGGATGCACACACAGACACATAAACCCAGATTCATGGGCCAACGTCTTTACTGGCTCTAGAGCATTATTCAGATAGGTTTTCCTCAGGGAGTTCTAACTACTGGGTTTGAAGCAATCATTCATGAGTACCAAAAAGTCGCGCTGTGACAGAGAGGCCGTGAGGGTTGCCTGGGCCTTAGGTTAAGTCAACTGAATCTAGGGTACTGGTCATCAGGAGAAAGTTGTGTAATGTGTACATATCTGGATCACCCATATTGAGGAACTGGGAGAAGATGGGAAAACTGAGCTGTCAGGGTGACTGAGCTCTGCTTCTGGTATGCGATTGTCTACATATTCACAATGGATGCTGAGGGAACATAGAGTTACAAGAATTCACTGTAGGTCTAGAGGCAGGTCTTGTAACAACTTCAGATTAGTGATGCATGTGGATGATAATCAAGGTATGTTATACTTATATTGTGAAATGAGAGTAAGTGAGGTGTGTAGATGATAATCACAGGTACTGTGGCTATTTTTACATTTTTTTGGGGAAACAATACATTTCACTTACAGATTAGTGAAAATAATGATGTAAATTTTTTTCCACCATCCATGTTCACGTGCCCCTTTGGGAATAGCCCCAAATAAATCATGGCCCTCAAGTTAAATGCTCTCACTTCAGTGTCTTTTTTTTCTTTTGTTTGGTGAGACTGGGGTTTGAACTCAGGGCTTTGTGCTTTCAAAACATGTGCTCTATCACTTGAGGCACTTCCTGTTCATTTTCCTCTGGTTATTTTGGAGATGGGGTCTCAAGAACTATTTGGGCTGGCCTCGAACTGTGCACAGTCCTACCAATCTCAGCCTTCCAAGTAACTACTCAGGGTCTTCTCACAGCAGGCAGAGAAGAAGTGTGCTGTCAGTTTCCTGCTCTCAGATTTGCTGTCTTTGGTCTGCTCCACCAGCCTGCTCTTCTCTCTTGATCTGCTTCTGCTCTCATACCTCTGAATAAGGCCACAGTCACAGCTTGGATCCTCATTTCTGAGTCTAAGCCAGTAGAATTGGAGTGTGGTATAGCTTGAGGAAGATAATTATCATTTTGCGAGAGTGAGCCTAGTTATCGTGGGGCGGGGACCAGAGCTGATACGCAGATGGCTTTCTATTGTGAAAGTATGTCTGGTCCAATCCATTGCTGCTGTATGGAAGCACTGTGCTTCCTGTGTCTGTAGGAAGGAAAAAGACATGGGCACAGAGTTTGCTGCTGGGAATAGGTCATTGTGCATCTCTGGTTCTAAGAGCTCTCTCACAACATGTTCCTTTCTTTCCCTCTCCTCCAGGGCAAGCTGGCCTCCTTTTTCCTGTCTCGGGTAGATGCCTTGAGCCCTCAGCTCCAGCAGGTAAAGGGAAAGGAGAGAGGGTATATAGCCCATGGATGTGAGTCTGGAGGTCATTCTCAGCTTTTGGACCCTGTTCCCACTTCTTCCCTGTTACTATACACCAGTTCCAACTTTTGACCTTACTGTGCCCATCTGGACCCTTCTGTTTCATTGTCCCTTCCACAGCCTTTGGTCTTTATCTCCCTTGGGTGTTAATTGGGTGGGGACTCCTGTGGCTGGACTAGTTAAGTTCCCTTCTGATCAGCTTTCTGCCCTTCCTTCTGCAGCTGGCCTGTGAGTGTTACTCCAGGCTGCCCTCGCTAGGGGCTGGCTTTTCCCAGGGCCTGAAGCACACTGAGAACTGGGAGCAGGAGCTGCACAGCCTGCTAACCTCCTTGCACAGCCTGTTGGGAGCCCTCTATGAGGGAGCAGAAACAGGTGGGGGCTGGGGTGGGGAGTCAGTAGGATAGGGGTTGTGGAATTTGGCAGGAGGGAACAAGAGGGTAGCACAGGAGGTGAGATAGTGGGTTTCTGGGTAAAATGGGTGTTAGCGTAGGCAGGTCATCAACCACAAATGAAAAAGGAGGGGATGGAAGAAAGACATAGGGTGTACAAGGAGATTGTGTTGCTGCCCAGCTCCTCTGCAGAGTGAAGGCCCTGGAGTAGAGACGCTGCTTTCCCACTCAGAAGATGGTGACACCCATGCCCTGCTCCGACTTCGGCAGAGGTTTTCAGGACTGGCCCACTGCCTGGGGCTTTTGCTCAGGTATGTGTGCGTTAGGGGGCAGTGGGATCTTTCTGGAGCAGGAGTGGTTGAGGGAGGTGTGGAGTTGTTCTCGGGAGGCTGGTCTGAGGGTCTCTTGCTCTGATTCTCTGTAGCTCTGAGTTTGGGGCTCCTGTGTCCGTGCCTGTACAGGATGTCCTGGATCTGATCTGCCGGACTCTAAGCGTCAGTGGCAAGAACATTGTAAGTAGGCTTTGTCTTCTGCATTCATCCCTTGCTCTGGACCCTGTGCAACCAAGAAAACACTGTGGAATCTAAAGCTCCCCAGCCAGTGTCATCCCTGAAGTTGTCTAGACTCTTACTCCTGTCCATATGTCATTACTCCCTGTGCTTCCACAGCACAGGCCATTGTCAGTGGATTTGCTCACATAGAGGGGTACCTCCCTTGGGAAAGGTGAATTTGGGGAGTAGCCAAGTCATTGCTAAGACGCTCAGTCATTATCCCCTTGCCCTCCATCCAGCGTCTGCTCAGAGGATGGGGCTTGGTTTTGTTGGGATAGCTGGGACCAGGAAGTGGGTTCCTTAACTATGTGTGCATGTGTATATAGTTGTACATGTCTGTTCTGTCTCTGTTTCTGTCTTTTCTCTGGCTCTTCTTTCTTTATCCACGCCTCACTTTGGCTGAATTTTCCTCCAGAGCTTGCTTGGAGATGGTCCCTTGCGGTTGTTGTTGCTGCCCTCAATCCACCTTGAAGCCTTGGATCTGCTCTCTTCGCTCATCCTTGCGTGAGTGAAATTGGATAGGGTGTGGAGAAGGGATTGGGACATGTTGAAATGAGGATCACTGTTCATCTCTGCCCCTAGGTGCGGAGGCCGGCTCTTACGTTTTGGGGCCCTGATCAGCCGCCTGCTTCCCCAGGTCCTCAATGCCTGGAGCATCGGGAGGGACACCCTCTCTCCAGGCCAGGAGAGGCCTTACAGGTGACTAATCATCCAAGAAGGAGATAGATAAGAGAGGGTGGATAAAGGCATGTAGGTGGCCTGAGGACTGTGGCACATTGAATCTCCATTTATAACCTGCCTTCCTGGTTCATACCCCAGCACCATCCGGACCAAGGTGTATGCTATCTTAGAGCTGTGGGTGAAGGTTTGTGGGGCCTCATCAGGCATGCTTCAGGGAGGAGCCTCTGGAGAAGCCCTGCTCACGCACTTGCTCAGTGATATCTCCCCACCAGCGGATGCACTTAAAGTGAGTGAGACCTTGGCTCCTGTCCTCGGTTCCTGTGCCCTTTTTTCCAAATATGCCTCCTCACCAGATACTGTCTCTTGACTCTGTTCTGCCTTTTTGTTTGGCTTTGTATGTGATGTATGTTTTCATCACCAGCTACGCAGCCCCCGGGTGAGCTCTGATGCAGGTTTGCAAACTGGGAAGCCCAGTGCGCCCAAGAAGCTAAAGCTGGATATGGGGGAGGCTATGGCCCCACCCAGTCACCGGAAAGGAGATAGCAATGCCAACAGTGACGTGTGTGCAGCTGCATTGAGAGGTGGGTGAGGCCTTGGACCTTGTGGCTGTGAGATTGCCTGAAATGATAGCTAAAATTAGTTGTTGAAGTGGAGTGTATACATAAAATGCAGAGATCAGAGGCAGCTGGGTGCCACGAAGGCTGCAGGTGGAGCCTTGGTCTTCCTTGGAGACTGGGATTGTGATAATTTTTCCTTCCCTCCAAGGTCTCTGTTATCTCATTTACCCAAAAAGCGCTTTGTGTGCACTCTGTGTGCTGGGCACAGTTCTAGCACTTGGGAAAGTTTCTGTCTTGGCGTTCATGTTCTCTGCAGCCTTGCAGAGCTTCCCTGCTTCTAGTGCAATATGGATTTGTGAACAGAAGTTAGTAGTCAGGTGCTGTCACTTTTCTTTAGGTCTCGTGTTCCACTACCTGTCCACTCATCCTTTGTGGAGGGGAGGCCAGGTATATAAACATACATTTATAATGTACCTACATTATCTATGATCCTCATTTTATACTTGAGAAAGCAAACTGAGAGAAGATAAATGCCTTGTCTAGAGTAGGCAGTGGCAGCTGGGTGCTTCAGAAGTCCTTATCTTTCATCCTGTCAGTAGGCTGCCTCTTACTTACATGCCATTCTTTTCCTAGGTCTCAGCCGGACCATCCTTATGTGTGGGCCGCTCATCAAGGAAGAGACTCACAGGGTTAGTGGAGCCTGCTGTCCATGGAACCTGGCTGGGGAGGGGACTGCTATTATATGCACGTGTTACATGTACCCCAGGGGTGGGTCCATTGAAACCTGGGAGGAGGGCCTTGAGAAGGGTCTTGGTGACGTTTCTAGATGTGCTCTCTGTCTTTTTCAGAGATTGCATGATCTGGTCCTGCCCCTGGTCATGGGTGTCCAGCAGGGTGAGGTCCTAGGGAGCTCCCCTTACAATAGCTCCTGCTGCCGCCGTGAGCTCTACCGTCTTCTACTGGCCTTGCTGCTGGCACCTTCCCCTCGATTCCCGCCTCCTCTTGCCTGTGCCCTGCAAGCTTTCTCCTTCGGCCAGCGAGAAGACAGTCTTGAGGTAACTGCTAACTGGTCCAAATGCCTTTGGTTCCTGGATTTTTTTGTTTTTATGCTTGCCCCATGAGACCCTGTGTTACTGATGCTCACACTTACCCTTTCTTTCTTCCTCAGGTCTCCTCTTTCTGCTCAGAAGCACTGGTGACCTGTGCTGCTCTGACCCACCCCGAGTTCCTCCCCTGCAGACCATGGGTCCTACCTGCCCCACACCAGCCCCAGTTCCCCCTCCTGAGGCCCCTTCTCCATTCAGGGCCCCATCCTTCCATCCCCCAGGCCCTATGCCTTCCTTAGGCCCTATGCCCTCTCCAGGTCCCATACCTTCAGCAGGCCCATTGCCGTCAGCTGGCCCCATGCCCTCAGTGGGCCCAATGTCTGCCACAGGCCCTATGCCTTCCACGGGCCCTATGCCTTCTGTGGGTCCTATGCCCTCCACACGCCCTGGACCTCCAGCCACGGCCAACCATCTAGGCCTCTCTGTCCCAGGCCTGGTGTCTGTCCCTCCCCGGCTCCTTCCTGGCCCTGAGAACCACCGTGCAGCTTCCAACGAGGACCCTGTCCTTGCCCCTAATGGGACTCCTCCACCGACCATAACCCCAGATGAAACTTTTGGGGGGAGAGTACCCAGACCAGCATTTGTACACTATGATAAGGAGGAGGCATCTGATGTAGAGATCTCCTTGGAAAGTGACTCTGATGACAGTGTGGTGATTGTACCTGAGGGGCTTCCACCCCTGCCACCTCCACCTCCTACAGGGACCCCTCCTCCCCCTGTGGCTCCCACTGGGCCACCAACAGCTTCCCCTCCTATGCCAGCCAAGGAGGAGCCTGAAGAACTTCCTGCAACTCCAGGGCCTCTTCCTCCCCCACCTCCTCCACCCCCACCTGTTCCTGGTCCTGTGACACTCCCACCACCCCAGCTGGTCCCTGAAGGAAATCCTGGAGGGGGAGGACCTCCAGCTCTGGAAGAAGATTTGACAGTTATTAATATCAACAGCAGTGATGAGGAGGAAGAAGAAGAGGAAGAGGAGGAAGAAGAAGAGGAGGAGGAGGAAGAGGAGGAGGAAGAGGACTTTGAGGAAGAGGAGGAGGATGAAGAAGAGTATTTTGAAGAGGAAGAAGAGGAGGAAGAAGAGTTTGAGGAGGAATTTGAGGAGGAAGAGGGTGAATTAGAGGAAGAAGAAGAGGAAGAGGATGAGGAAGAAGAAGAAGAGTTGGAAGAGGTAGAAGACTTGGAGTTTGGCTCAGCAGGGGGAGAGGTAGAGGAAGGTGGACCTCCACCCCCAACCCTGCCTCCAGCCGTGCCTCCGCCAGAGTCTCCCAAAGTGCAGCCTGAACCAGAACCTGAACCTGGGCTGCTGTTGGAAGTAGAGGAGCCAGGGGCAGAGGATGAGCCCACGGCTGAGACAGCCCCCACTCTGGCCCCTGAGGTCCTCCCTTCCCAAGGGGAGGTGGAGAGGGAAGGGGGAAGCCCCACTGCAGGGTCACCTCCTCAGGAGCTTGTAGAAGAGCCCTCTGCTCCTCCAACTTTGCTCGAAGAGGGGACTGAGGGTGGGGGTGACAAGGTGCCACCCCTACCAGAGACATCTGCAGAAGAGATGGAGACAGAGGCACAGGCAGAGGTGGAGGCTGTAGCTGTCCAAGAAAAGGTGAGGGGCAGGCAGGAAGGGCACCTCTGAGGTGGGAGGGTTGGGCTAGTAGGAGAAGGGGGTGTAGCTGTTTGTCTTGGTGTGGGTGGGTGTGTGTCGGGGTGGGGTGGGGGGAAGTACAGCTGCTTGTTTTGGGGAAGAGGTTTGCCCCAGCCCTATTCTTTTGTGAGTGTGTGTAACTGTTTTGAATCTTACGTCTTTGTTCCTAAAAGGAGCAGGATGACACAGCTGCCATGCTGGCTGACTTCATTGATTGTCCCCCTGATGATGAGAAGCCACCGCCTACCACGGAACCTGACTCCTAGCCCTCTTCTGCATCCCAACACCTTGTTTCCAATAAAGTTATGTGCTTATTCATGCTGTTTCCAAATGTCCCCAACTATCTCCACAGCTGACCTTTTATCTCCATTGTCTTAAGGAGGAACCAATGTCACTCAGCACATTAGTGTTGGAATTACAGAATTCTTGATCTCTACTCTTTCTGATATGACATATGCGCAGTGTTGCCTATATGGGTAAGACTGTAAAAAATTAGAGGAGGTAGTCTTTTTGAATTTGTAATTGAGAGGTAGGAAATGTGTGGGAGATTAAGAGGCCTAAAATGAACCTGTGTAAATGCACACATACACAGATATACTTGCACTTTTCCTTGGTCTAAAAGAGTAAGCTGAATGATTGTGGTGGAAGTTTAATTATTGAATTCAGTGAAATTTGAACTTTGGGCACCCCAAATTAATGGGGCTTTCATAGTTGGGGTTGAGCTCTGTTCCTAGCTGGTCTTTGCAATGATGACATTCTAATGTTCCCCAGTATCCCCTTGGCAGAAATTTGATAAGCCCACCCTAGACCTACCATCTCTTGAGATCTGGTATTTTCCAACCAGTGTGAGGTTAATTTGTACTTCTCCTAGGCCTTGCTGGGAGACATGAGCCTAGAGCTGTAAAATTGTGAGGCCATCAAGATTTATGGGTTGGGGTTAGTGCTCCTTGATGTCACTCATCTCTATAGGCATATAAACATAAGGAAGCTGCTTTGGAAATTTGGAAAAGAGTCATTTCTCCTAACTGCATGGGTCCTGAAAGGCCTCTGAGGAGTTGGCATTTGAGGTAATTTTTGAAAACTTAAGGAATGTTAAAAAATTTTCTCCCCCCACTTATCTTGAAAAAAATTCAACCCCCCCCCAAATGTTACAAGAATGTTATGTATAACCATTGCCTAGATTTAACAATTGTCAGTGTGTAGCCAGGTTATTTTTTCTTACATAATTCTGTATCTGCATGTAGATATGTGTATAGGTATATAGATACAGGTATATCTTATAATCAATCTATGGCTATACATGTTTTGGTTTTTGTGGGGCTGAAAGTATTTGCAGACACCATAGCTCTTCTAAATCATCAGCATTATCTTCTAAAGTAAGAATACAATCCTTCAGGTGGGGGTGTGACTCGAGTGCTCAAACCCCAGTAACCAAAAACAAAATTATCAAAGCTAGGAAAAATAACAGGAGTAGAATAATGGGGGGCTGATGGGGTGGCTCAGGCTGTTAGAGCTCCCATGTAGCAAGTGTGGTGCCCTGAGTTCAAGCTCCAGTGCCGCCAGAAAAAAAAAACAAAAAAACAGCAAAAAAACCCCAGAAGTTCCCTGACTTAAAATGATGGTTTGACTTTAGATTTTTGTAGGCTGCCAGTTTTTTCCTTCCTGTTTTGTTTTTTAAACTGACAATGACTTTGGCTTAAGGTTGGGAGTTATGTTTTTCACTCTTGGTATTTAATAATTACATAAAATATTCAATACTTTATTATAAAATAGGCTTTGTGCTAGGTGATTTTCCCAACTGTGGGCTAATATAAGTGTTCTGAGTACATTTAAGTATTTCATACTAAGCTGTGATGTTTGGTAGGTTATATACATTAAATGCATTTTCAGAAAGTATGTTCAAACAATGACCGCTTTATTGAGACAATCCTATTGTATAACAAGGAGCATCTGTAATGTATACATTGTGATAAATTTCCCTATTTATCACTGAAATGGCTTATAGCAGTTTTTTTGTTTCCTCCTCCTAAGTGAAGTTCAAGAGGAGATTTTATTTGGTGGGGAATGTCATTTAAACCTTAAGGGTCACTGCTGTAAGGACAGAGGTACAGAAGTGAAAACTACTGAAATAGTGATTTTCCAGAAGGGGGGAAGAACCTGATTCCTAGAAACTGTAGATAAGTAAAATTGACATTGGCATTGACAAGAGGCTAGAACAGATTTTTTTCTAATTTAAGTTATATTATGAATAGATTATACATTCATGTGGTTCAAAATTCAAGAAATATAAAAGGTCAGTTGAAAAATCTTACATTCTTTAGGCACCCAGACTTTTTGCCCCAAACAGCAGTATGAATGGTGCTTACTTATTCTAGAGATGTGTGCATTTACAGGTGTGTGTGTGTGTGTCTGTCTATATATAAAATATCAATTTCACTTGGGATTTATTCAGCAAATACTTATTGGTTGCCAGTTATGTATAGACACCATCTTCTATTACATGGTTTTTGAAATGATTGTAGTCCCTCACAGGAAGGGGATTGCCAGGTTTGGTAGGGGTGCAAGGTGCCCATTACCCAGTTTCCCTCAACGGTTGATGTTGATACAATGATGGGCTCTTGTTTTCTAAATTGGAAATAGATCAGTGAACAAAATGGACAAAAAAATCTCTGCCTAGCACTTACAGGCTTTGTAATTAGAATGTTTGGGAGGTGGAGGTAGACAAATCAGTAAAATATGTGTTAGATTGTGATGAGTACAATGGGAAAAGGTAGGTTTGTGTGGGTATGTCTTTCAACATTGAAAAATTTCAAGCAAGTTCAATTATAGAGAACATTCATATGTCCATTATACTACATTTCTCTGTGTGATGTCTTTCTTTTTAAACCCAGGCTTGCCTCAAAGTTACTCTGCAGCCTAGGCTGACCTTGAACTTATGACCCTCCTGCCTCAGCCTCCCAAGTGCTGGGATTACAGGTGTGAGCCACCACACCAGTCTCTTGTGTGTAATTTAACTACAGTGGTTAGGGAAGCTGTCATGAAGAAGGTGAGGTTGAAAAAAAGACAAAGGGGTTGAGAGAGCCATGTGGAGTTCTGGGAGAGGTGTTTTTTAGGAAGAGGATATAACAAGTACAAGGAGCTGAATGAAACAGGAGCATTTTTGGTGTTTTCAAGGGAAGCAGGGAGGCCAATCAGGCTGAGAAAGGGCAGGTAACTTCAGGGGAGAGAATGGAAGTGGTAATAGGATGAGACTGATGGGTTCTACTTGGGGTGAGGTGGGAAGTTGCTGGAAGATTTTAAGCAGATACTGTGATTTTTATTTTAATAGACTCCCTCTGATGTTCTTGGGGGATATATGAAAGGCAGTGGACATGCTGTTAGGAATAAGTTAATTTGCCTCCCACCAAGGTGGTGGGAAAGAAGATGGAGTCTAGATACTTGAAGGTGGAATTGATAGGAATTTGGTCATTCTATTTTAGTTCAGACTGCTTCCTCATTTTCTTTGACAGCTGTCTCGAGTTTAATTATAGTATAATTTAAAAAGCAGTGTCTGAACTATATTTTGTGGATCCTGTCTTTCCTGCACAAATGGGTACATGTATACATGATATGTGTACATACCATTTTCACACAAGTAGTTGTCAGATAAACTCCTAGAGATAGACTTGCAGAGTCTTTTTGGATGTTGTGTCAATTTTTACTCCTACCCTAGAATAAGACTGTTTTTCCAACTCCTTACCAAAGTGGAAAACATGATCTTTGCTAATATGGTAAGTGGCAAATCAGTGTGTTTTTGAACCTGTATTTTTCTTGCTTCATTAGGAAAATTATTCCTTTGTCTATAATATTTGCATTTTTTTTTTCAGTTTTGGCTTTTGACTACTCACAGTGTTCTTTTTGTCATACTGAAAATTCTTATTTTTTGCTGCTGAGGATTGAACCTATGGCCTGTGTGTGTTCAGCAAGCTTTGTTCCTGAGCTACACCCTTAACCACCAAAAGTGTTATTTTTATTAGTTGAATTTCTCAGTGTTTTATAGCTCCTGTGTTTTGGATAATTTAAAAAAAATTTATTTTTGTGGTGCTGGGGATTAAACTCAGTACCCTTGAGCTATACTGCTAGCTCTTCAGGTGATATTTTCTTAGAGCCTTGGGTGAGATTATTGGAAGAGCCTCACATTTCTTTCCTAAAATTTTTATGATGCTGTAGCTTTTTAAATAAACTTTTATTGCTTTACTTCTTACTTTTAAAGCTTTTATCCATTTGGAGTTTATCCTAAATGTAAAAAGGCACAGATCCAACTTTACTATTTTATCCAGATGCCACTTAATAAACAACCTTTTTTTTCATGATTTGAAAAGCCACTTTTATTGCATTCTCTGTTCCCTATTTGTATTTCTTGTGTTCTATTTTGTTGATTTGCCTATGTGCTCACATTTCTTGGTCTTTATGTTATGTTCCAATATTTGGTAGTAAGAGTCACTTGGTAGGGCCAAAATGGGATTGCAGTTCAGAACAGGATCTGTAAAACAAGTCTAAGATTTCTGGATTGATAATAAGGGAAGTAAGACCAGCATATGGCCCTCAGCAAGCTCTTCACCAGTCTTACAACGTGCTTGTGGCCAGAGTAGTGAGTGTCAGGATAGTTAATTAAATTGACCAAAAGCCAACAAATTGTGGTTATCCTAGAGAGAGTTTTTTGGGAGTGTGACCAGACTGTGACTGTTAAGTAGCTTGATTGTAAAGCTGCTTGTTAAATATTTATGACACAAATTTAGAAGGCTGGTATTTGGAATTATCTGACAAGTAAGCTTCTTTGAAAAATTGCATGGGGCTGGGAATGTAGATGCTCTTGTCCTCAGTGGTAAAGCACTTGGCTAGCATTTATGAGGCCCTGGGTTTGAGCCTCAGTACTATCTCCCACCAAAAAAAAAAAAAAATGTGGAATTTCAGAGGGGTCAGACTATGCTTCTGTCTTGGGGCCTCTTAGCTGTTTAAGTACAGGAAGAAGATGTGGTTTAACAGAAGTGGGATTCAGAGATGAGTGGAGGACCTAAGGGGGCTTTTCTGTTAAGGTTCCCTTGACTATGGGTTGTGACTGGTATAGGTAGTATAGTGAAGGAGGTGCAGGGATGGGATTAGATGGTTTGCAAGTGTCTTGAAAGTTGTACTCAGGAATTTGGGCTTCATTCTAAGAAGCAAGGATTCCTTTAAAGTTTATTCTTGAGGAAGGAAGTGATTGGTTCAGTTTTCATTGAGCTTTGGCAGCCTATCTAGAGGTCAGAGAGGAGATAGGTCGAACTATCCTGGCATGCCAAACTGCCTTTCAGTCTTCTGTCCTGGGCTTAGCTGCTATGTTGCCATGGGAGCTTCAGTTTTGGTAACTCTTGTCAAAGACTGGCTAGACTGAGCAATCTCTTAGTCTTTCTGCTTTTCCCCAGAAGGGGCTGGCTTCCTGGCCCAGGCCACCAGGATTCTGTTGCCACTCTCAGTATGATGAATCATTATTCTTACTGCTTACACTCCCCAGGGGTGGGACTTTGGGGGAATAGGTAGCTGGAAAATGTAGATAATCCTCCAAATGGAGGATCTGTAGCCAAGATAGGAGTAGTTTGTGGGTGGGAGAAAGTAAAAGGGAGAACTATTTAAACAAGCGTTTATCGGGTACTTACGGTGCACAAGCAGGTACAAGGCATTGATCCTCTCCAGAGGATCTCACAATTTAGTAATAATGGAGAGCATTTTGAGTGTACAGTACTTTGGGGTGACAACTATGTGGGGTTTGAGGTTCAGGAGTAGGCTCAGGGTTGGAGATTTGGGAGGGGACAAATGACCCGGGATGTTGGAGTGAAAAGAAGTGATCTGAGTGTGCAACTCAGGTAACAGCACATTTAGGGGCAAGAGGCTCCCTTCAATGAAAGCAAAGAACTTGGAGAAGGCAGTGTTCAAGAAAAGAGAAGAGCTGCAAGCAGGAGGGAGAAATATTGTGGCTGAGAAATGCCCATTGGGTGAGGCTCATTGGCCTCATCCAGATTGTCCCAGTCCTTTCCTCGTAGTGGATGGATGCAGAAACATAAATGTGCTAGGGCTGATTGTAGGGTGCCCCTGCAGCTCCTCCATCACTCCT